CTTGCACTTCCTCACTTGCCGCATCGAACGCTCAAAACTGCGCACGGCGCAAAGGCAAACAGCGCTCTCAAGTGTTGCTTGAAAATCGCCGGATGTCCGAATCTCATGTCGGTCATTCAATGCGGGAAACTCCGAGATGGTTAGCATGGATAAGGACATGGAGACTTAGGTCTCAAAGCAAGGTGCCATCAAACGGGCAACCATCATATCCGCAAATACCACGATGATCAATGAGATATCTGATGCTGCATTAAATCAGAGGGAAAAGGTATTACACCCTGGCATTTCACCTTGTTCCCCGACTAATTCGTTCTAAAAGGAACTAATTTGATCTATTTCGATCGATTTTGCTTTATTTTGCTTTATTTTGATCCATTTGCGGCTTGTGTGGGGCATGTCCAAGAAGCAAGAACCCCTGTCTCCCGTACAGTTCAAACACCCACGTGTTTTATCGCCAATGCTTTCCTTTCACGCTTCGGACGGATCGATGTCGCAAGTCCTACTTTTTGGGTTTGCCTTTCTTGGTGAAACAGGAAGTTTTGAGGTGGTCCCTACCTCGACATTTGAAGCTTTTGGACCCCAACAATCCCCCCAGAAGAAAAACAGCCAACATCAATCAAAATAATTCAGGAGTTGGGTGTAATACCTTTCACCCAACGGTTTTGAGGATTTCCAGGACCCCTCAACCCCAACAATTCCCCCAGAAGAAAAGCAGCCAAAATCAATCAAAATAACTCAGGAGCTGGGTGTAATACCTTTCACCCAACGGTATTCGAGGTTTTGCAGGGTGTTTTTGGACCCCCCGAGACACCCCCCCTCCAAATTGGGAATTTCTTTGCGAGTGAAGCTGTCTCATGACACATTGGCAACATCCCCGTGGAGTTGTCAGACTGTTTGTTTGGCGCAGCTGAGCCGCTAGATGGCAACGATTGTTCCATTCAGCCCAATAGACTGGACCCACTCTCAATGGATTTTGTAAGAAGAAAGTCAAGCGAAGAAAAGAAAAAAAACATAAGTCAAAATAAGTAGGAATGAGGGTGTAATCTCGGGGTGTAATACATTTTTTCTCTGATTAAATGACTCATGACAAGCCGCTATGTTTCCATGTCGGCTTGACTCTACAGCGGGGTTTCCGGAAGCACTGCCTCTTAAAATAACTTGGGACTCCGATGTTGAAGCCTGGACTTCACCCAGGTATAGCTCACCAAGGCTCAGCCTCTCAATGGACGCCTTGCAGGATGCCATCAGCGATTCGGCATCTAAGCCGTGTGGCTTCGTACGTCCTCGCGCACGCGGAGTGAATCATTTTTAAAGCTAGCATCTCTCGCAGTGTCTCATGCACTTCTTCTCCGCGTTTTTTGCGTGTGTCAGGGACTTCGTCTCCTGGCAGGTCAGGAGCGCCCAAATTAGACGGATTCCTTAGGTGCAAAGGATGGCTTTTTGATTTAAAACAAAAAAAATAAGACAGCCAACGCTCGTAAGGCCAAATTGCATTCAAGCGTCGCTTTTGTGGCAATATAGAACCTTTGCGCAGTGTGCCAGTGATAGAGGAAAAATAAGAAAGCATGCTTATCTGTCGGGCGATCTTGACTCCAACTTCACTTCTCGGAAGAACTATTCTGCAAATATGGCGGAACCAGTAAGTAGCATGAACAATGCCCCTCAATTTAGAATCCTTTTGGCCAGGTCTACCCAACCAACAACACGATCGTCACATGGGAACGCAATTTCTGCACAAAGACTTTCACCGTGGCTCGCTGTCTCTTCTGCCCAGCTTCTTCTCCCGCTGCACCTTCCCATCCGCCAGCGCTTTCTGCAGCCAGTTTCCAATCCACTGCTCTGTAACCTTCCCTCCCTCACAAGGCGTTGGATACCTCGAGAAATCGGAGAAACAAGGCGTAAACTAGGCGCGCGCGCGCAGCATTTCATCACGCCACCACAAGTGTGAGAACTTCAAAAGAAAACAAGACTCAAGCCTGAAGAGCTCCAATGCGTTTCTGCGTTCGTCAATGCTTGTTGCACCACTCTCAGGCACGATGCATTTCAGCAGTGTCTATAAAGTTCACCCCCAGCCGAAGAAGAGTATCCAGCTGATTGTGTGCCATCTTTTCCTGGGCTGACACAAAAGCGTGACGTGCCTTGATTTCTGCGTGACAAACTCCATCCGGGTCATCGCGGTCATCAATTTTGGGGCTGTAACGTATATGCTCACCCTGCAAAATTCCATTCACCCTCTCAAGCATCTCAAAGTTAACAAGCTGTGAACACGTAGTCTCAAGCATGAGTCCAAGCAGCATCCTTGTTGAAGGTACCCCACATCATGGTGCCCGCACACACACGGGACACCATCATGTCCTGGCATCCCATGAGCAGTAACTGGCCCGTCATATTGTTGGGGAATGCAACGCATTTCGCCTCATGAGGCAAAAAAGAACTGCCATGGAACCCCCAAGTGCCACCCCCAAACATGGATGGATGGATACTTGCTGGATGGATATTTTGGATTTCTATCAACTGCCGAGCCGCAGAGCTCCCGAACTTAGCATAAGGCATGGAGCCCAGCCGCTCGATTTTCGCCATGGCGAAGGAAAGGAAACGGGAAATTGACCGGGCTCGAAAAGTTGCTAACTGGGGAAGCAAACACTGCGGTCCCAAAATTCAAGAAAAATGCCACAAGCAGAAACGTGTTTTCTGAACGTCTCTTCAACAATGCTGGCAGTCTCCGATCAAGTCCAAAAGAAAGGTGTGACCTTGAGAAGTTCACGCAACTTGGGATGCAGGCACAGATCGGGTCCCGGATACGGCGAGATCAAAGCGATTTCGCGGCATTGTTAGAAGCTACGGACACTCACGCCCAGACCCAGTGTGCTCAGATTGAAGGCGGTGCCCGGCGGGGCACGGTCTTCAACGAGTGGGCAGTATTTACATGTATACCCGGGTGTGAGACATTTTTCTGAAAAGGACGAATGAGCCCTGATTCATCTGCGCACCGCGGTGCCACGGGTTGCACCTCCAACTCTGAGTGGGGAGTATTCCCTCCGGCGTGAGACATACCGCTTGTGCTTTTGTCAACCCTCATCATTTGAGAAATTTGCTTGCAGGTGAGCTGTGGCTGCTGGGGGCAGGGGCAGGACCTGCTGCACTTGCATCCTGCTCGTGCGTGATGCCAGCCTTGCATGCGGAAACCAAACTGAAGGTCTGTAATCAACTTCTCATCCGAATGTTGACAAGCGGAAAGCATTTCCTGGAATAAAAGGGTCCTTTTGTGCGATCCAGCTCGTGCTTCTGCATTTCACCCAAGAAGATGGACTCAGCTTCTGACAAGCTGGATCTCTCCATAGCCTTGCCATACTTTTGCCAAGCACGCGGCAAATGCACCTGCAGCAAAGCCTGCCAAATATTTTGCACTCTTCTGCAGGGGGCAAGTTCTGTGCCTCGACCATCCCCCAAGCATTCTTAAGGATCCCTGCCGTTAGAATCCTGTTCACTGCTTCAAGCCAAGAGGGAACAAGCAATAAAAAAACACAAGCCCGACCGACCCAATCGTTCCGCTCCTTTTTTTTTAGGCGTTGCTAGAGCAAAAAGAGCCGAGAGCCCAACCTGGTGGTGTCATGGGTGGACATCCCGAGCACAGCGGAGCCTGGCGCCTGGCCACCTTGCCGCACAACCTCCTGCACGCCGCCACGAAGCGCGGTGTCCATGTCGTGATGGAGACCGTTGGAAACTTCTGGAAGTATATGTTCAACTACGTGAGCGTTGTGCGAAGCCTGGATCAGCCAACGGGTCAACCTGCCGAGCCGGTCATGTTGCAGTTTTGGTGCCATCCCTTGGAGGCGAAGGAGGAATACCTCACGAAACAAAAGACGAAGAAGACGAAGAAGAACTAAGGGCATGAGAGTTAATGACTCTCAGAGGTGAAGTCCTGTGCGCAGACCTCGCATTGTCGAGAAACGCGCCAGTGGCCATCTTCCGGCGTTCGATCACGGTAGCATCTCGCTCGCGAAAGGAAAAAGAAAACGGAAGGTTGAGGTGCAGAGGAATCTGATTGCATTTTGAACAAATGCATGTCTGTGGATTGTCATACAAACTGCGCACATATTTGTGGAATCGAAAGGTCCCCGTGAATGTACATTTACAGAGACCCCTGGTGTACGCAGCCGTCTCACAACGCATTAGACAGCTGATGCCAGACAAGGCGGGCGTGTCAGTGGCTTGTCATTCAAAGTGCGCTCAGATTTGTGAGTTTGGAGGGTCCCCAAAATCCATATATTCAGATACAGCTCATCGTGTACGGCCCCGCTTTGAGAGGCGCAACACATCTGCTATGGGGCAGAGGCGGGCGAGTCTGTGAGCTGTCTGCTCGAGACTGCGCACTAATTGGTCACACCGTACGCACACAAAATCCTCAATCTTGAGGCTCCTTCTAAATGTACATTTATAGGGACCCTCTAAACTCCCCATCAAAGGACATTTGTAGGGACCCTCATACTCCTTCAAAGTCGAAGGTCCCGTGCACGTGCATTTACCAAAATCCGCTGAATCTCTCATATTTAGGGGAATGCAAATGTGCCTGCGCCAGTATGGAGAGACCGATGATATCCGATGACAGAGGAGGTGGGTGGAGTGTCATCCCAGCTGCACGCAGATTTGTCTAACTTCGGGGTCACCAGAAATCTGCATTTATGGGGACCCTTAAAACTCACGTATGTGGACACACGTTATCGTTTTGAGAGGCTTAAGACATCCGATTGCAGACGAGGCTGGCGAGTCCGTGGATTGTCATCCCAATTGCACACAGATATGTCAATTGCGAGGATCCCCTTTTAATGTACAGTTGTAGGGACTCTGAAAGCCGCACCAACATTGGACACTGCCGTAGTGTCTGCATCCATCTGGAGAGGCAGGAGATTTTGGATTGCTGACAAGGTCCGTGGAGTGTCATCCCAGCTGCACACAGACTTGTTTAATTTCAAGGTCCCCACATATCTACATTTATAAGGACCCTCAAAACCCACATATTTGGACACGCGTCATTGTTTACGGATCCGTCTTGAGAGGCACAAGACGTATGATTGCTGACAAGGCGGGGAAGCAAGTAGATTGTCATCCTAACTGCGCACAGAGATCAGGTGGGAGGGTCGGTGGATTGTCATCCGAACTGCACACAGACATGTCAAGTTCGAGAATCCCCTCAAAACCGTATTAACATCGGACACTGCCATAGTGTCTGCATCCGTCTCGAGAAGCAGAAGATATTGGATTGCAGACAAGGTCCGTGGAGTGTCACACCGTACGCACACAGATCATATTTGAGGGTCCCCATGGATGTACATTTAAGCACCCTCAAAACCCGTCAATTTTGGAGTACTTCTATTACATCCCTGAAAGTTGAAAGTCTCCATATAATGTACATTTATGGGAACCCTCAAAATCCTTCGAACTGGAAGGTCCCGTGAATGTACATTTACCGGGATCCTCCAAATCCCTGATTTGAGGGAAAGCCACTGCGCATTACCGCCCGTGTCAGGAGGCAGAATATATCCGATTGCAGACAAGGCCGGCGAGTCGTGGAGTGTCATGAGGAATACGCACCGAGTCGTCTAGTTGGAGGGTCCCCCGGTACATATATATATATATGTATGTATATATGTATATATATATAATTATGTTAAGGCATGTTGCACTGCTCCTAGCTTGAACCCAAACAAGACCACCCAAAAGAACAATGCAAGTCCGAAGCGGCCGCAGTTCTTTTTACCGGGATTGCTGAAAGTAGCACTGCTTCCAGGGCACGGGTGCGCCTGGAGCAGGAGGTGCGTTGACCCCCCGTGAAACTTAAAGGCAAAACAATGCGTGTCCTTGCAAAGGCATGCAGTGCGTGCATGGCGTGGCAGGCGTGCCCACGCCCAACCAGCAGACCGGGGTCTGTGGTTAGGAAACGGCAAGCTGCAGCTTGCCCAAACCTGCATGATCCGGAGACCATGTAGTCCGGAGACCATGAGCGTTCCGGAGACCTAGAGGGTTTGGAGACCGTGAGCGGTCCGGAGACCGAGAGGTCCGGAGACCATGAACGGAAGTGCAGAGCGTCTGCAACTTCTCATTGCAGAGCCTTGTATACGGCAGTGCAGGGTGGGTGGGTGGGTTTCAAATGAAACAGCAAGTTTGGGTCAAGGCTAGGAACAAAACGGCCACCGCGTAGGTAGATTCACAACATGCCCTAAACACAAGGGGAAAGAAAACCCTAAGCGTCAAGGCATGTTGCACTGCTCCTAGCTTGAACCCAAACAAGACCACCCAAAAGAACAATGCAAGTCCGAAGCGGCCGCAGTTCTTTTTACCGGGATTGCTGCGGTATAAGCAAGCCAGCTGGGCCGCCGGCCTCATCACCCCCCCTTTAGAGTGGGGTTGCACCTGGCAGGGCAAGTGTCCGCATGACATTGCACGCGCTTGGTTGTGAGCATCCTGTTGCTCAGGGACCGCTCTCGCCGATGCAGCCAGGCATTCTGGTTGCCAGGGCGAGGTTGGCTATTGGGTCGCAATGCATGTTGGGAGGCAGCTGCCAGATGTTCCGGGTGCTAGGGCGCAAATAAGGCTGTCCTGGAACTGCGCCTTTTTCCACGAAATTGGCGCAGCAATGGCGCAGAAGAACAGCACCACTAAGGCGAACATTTCTGGAGCGCTATCTCGGACGAGTGCGCACAGAAGGTCGTCTACGAAAAGGAAGGCTTTGTGGGGCTTCAAGCCAAAAGCCCATGCACTTGGCGAAGTAGGAATGCGCCAGTGCCCTGCCACCAGAATGCCAAGAAACGGCCTCCAAAGTGAAAGCTGCTCTTTTTTAGTCCTGTGAGCCTTGTGAAGCAAGGTCCACTGGTTCGTGAGCGTGGGTCTCCAAGGCTGGCAATGCGGGCAATGCCGTCTGAAGGCGCGCAAGATGAATTCGAGGTCTTCGAGGCTCGATAAAACAGCATTCAAAAGGCTGGTTGTTTTGGGAGCAGTGCAGGCATGCAAAAGCGAGACTAAGGCGGTTTCAGAGCGCTCATGCCTTGCGAAGTTCCTGAAGCTAGGATCACTGGCAGCTGTCAGAAGGCCTCTGGCTGATTGGCGACCTGCGGCCCGGTCATGAAGGCAGGCCGTAGGCTTGCTCCAATCAAAAGCGGAGGCGAACTTGGCCAGGCTGTAAAGACCTGGCTCTGGCTTGCATAGGATGACAAACGTGCACAGTGTCAAAAGGCGGGCAAAGTGTACTGAGCCCTCGTGAAGGGCAGTACGCATGATGATGAAGTCCAAGTAAAGGCGAAGGTGATTCAGCAGGGCAATCTTACGTTGCCTCGCGAAGAAAGTGTCTGCTATTGAGCGAAAGGGCTATGGTGTCCAAGCAAGCTGTGGTAAGTGCAAGGGCGAGGTTGTTGCTGGGGCTCTGACCGGGCGGGGTTCTCCACGTTGGCAGCTTAAAGGTTATCAAGCATGCGCATCATGTCTGTGCAGCTGGCACGCCGTTGTTTTACGGCAAAGTGCGAGGGCGTAGTACGCGAAGGACAACCAGTGCTGTACAATCTCCACAAGGCACGACAAGGCACGGA